AAACATTGCGATTAGGTATAATACGACTTTTCGGATTACATAATTAAGCTTGTTGAAATTAATAAATAATACTGGTTGATTATATGTTCAATATTCACAGAGCCTGCTTTGATTCCTACAAAACGTAATCCCTTGGAAACCGATCGTAGGAAGAGATAGTAATTAATAATTTAAGTTATTTTAAACACGTTTTATTATTTATTCCCGTTGTCTAATTCTATTGATTTTGCAGGAAAAGAAATTTAATGCACAGTACTTTATCTCAAGTGTATTCTAACGAAATAATTTCATAGACCTGATTCTGTAATATCAACTATAAAATCCGTTGCACCCGAAAAATGCGTCTTATCTACTCAGAAATTAGATGATGCAGCACTCCAAAAAGATCTAGATGCTATATTACAAGTCTAAAACCCAAATATTAATTGGCGATCTGTTGTCATGTGGGAACCAATGGATGAAGTTGGAGCGCAGAAATTTAAAGGTTTTCATAATTATAAGAATCACCTAATCGCTATTAATTGAACTAATTCGATCCTTTTTTTGTAGTTTCACAACTACTGCATCCTATCACTTTCATAAACAAGGCTCCCGATGGTAATGAAAGCATAAAAACAATACCTACTCGCCTCGTCGACTTCTTAAACAATCCGAATTTGAAAAATTCGGAGTTTCAAATATTATCATCATTCGGTATATTGACACTGGAACTCAATTAGAAACGTGACTCTACCAAAACTCGAAGATGTTATTGATATCGAGCTGATGACGCAGGAAGTCGAACCATTCGAGGATCTAGAGAGGATGATGCTTTAGGGGCTACCGACATTCAATTTTATGATGTCTTTGAGACTCCTTTGAGATCAAGAAAAGAAAAAAAAATTGTTAAACACCGACTAAAGAAGATGGAATCAAATGAAAGTTCTGCTGATTGGATGATCTCAAAACATAATTCAAATGACAACGTTAGCGAAAGTCGCACTGCAACAATTTCTCATCAAAAGTCACCCTCACGTGAACGAAAAGAAAATATGAACCTACACGTAGACAAGATTTCTCCTATCGACACCGTCGTAATTATCAATCTACACGTAAGAAAAAACCTAATCAGGTTCCGGTGATTCAGCCGACATTCGTAATTTATTACAAACCAATGTGATATCATAAAAATACTATACTATTATGCAGAACGGAAGAAGCCATAGCATTAACCCGAACCGCATGTCCATAGTAAGGCATACACCTACGATGAGCAATGAAGAAAGAATCACGACATGGCTTTCTAATTATGG